AAGGCGGGTGCCTACTCCGCCTATAGGCGGAGTAGGCACCCGCCTTAGTGTGAAAGAAATATGATTAAATGATTAAAATAATTAACTAAAGTGTTCAGTTTGATGAGAAATAATAGGCATAACCAGAATATTGCTAAACAGATCTAACAGTACACTTGGTATAACTAATTAATCTGTGATATGTTCAAATGTAATTTTGTTAATTGCACTTTAGTTAAGAGTACAAGTTGTTTTTTAATTGATACAACTTGGATTGTGCATACTACAATTAAATACTTTTACCAGAATATTTGGTGTCTTTAACAAATCATATTTGTTTGTATAATTAAATACTCTGTAAAAATTAACAAGTAGAAATTGGTATTTATAACCAAAGTACACAATGTGTTTACAATAAAGCGTATAGCTAGAACAACAAATATTAAGAAAAAACAACTCTATATTTAGTACGCGTCATTAGTGTTTTGGTTGGTTTTACAATTATGATAACTGATGATTGCAAGAAGTTCTGTAAACATAACAAGATATAAAAGTAATGTTTTGTTAGAACTACGGAATAACCCAGTAACCAGTGCAGATTTTAATGTGAATCGGTGTCCGGTGTGACAGTTCGCGACTCGTATTCATTTCGCATTTTGACTTTATACCTATTGTCAGGACCGGATTAAGAGTTTATCGGGCCTGGAGCCCAGTAGTCCAAAGGGCCCTTAATTCATACACTATTAATTACCAATAACTGAATTTTATTTCTTTAAAAAAATGATACAAATTAATTGATTGTAGGTACAGATATATCTTTTTTAATCTTTAAATATTAGTTAATTTTCGTTACATACAAATATAAGTACAACATTATTGTTTAAATGTCAAAATAAAAATAAAATATTTTAAAATTAACTTTATTAGGTACCTTATTTTCTTTTCTTTTTTTGAAACTTCACAATTATTTCATCTGTATTTATTTCTTTAAGTAGAGACCTCTCAATGGTCATTAATGATAAAGCGTTCAAGCGTGGATTTTTCATGGTAGACCTCAATTCGTCCTTCACTCTTTTCAATTTTGAAAATGCTCTTTCTGCGCTGCAATTGGCAACTGGAAGACATAAATACAATCTATACGCTACTTCCACATTACGAAACACTGAATTGAGTTTATTATCGTGTATAATTTGAAGACATTTTAGTGCTGATGGCATTTTAATTTTTCCTTCTTCATCTTGCTCATCAACTAATTTGGTAAAATGTATCATTTCTTCGGGAAAAATGTCACAATCAAGGTCGTCCGGATATATTTTACCAAGATTTTTTGCCATATCTACGATTTCTTTCTCAGTTATAGATTTAAAATAAGTAAGAAACCCAAACTTTCTATCTAAATCGTTATATTGTTCAAGTCTTTTTAGCAGCAGTCCATTATAACTATAAATGTTTCAACTCTAAACTTCTCCTGCCCAGAAAAAGTGGTCTCTTCTTCATTTCGAATCATTTCATCTGGAGTTAATTTACAAATTATTTTTCTTTTTTTTTCAGTATTATACTTTTTAGAAATAACTTTAGAAAGAGATAATGCCACTTTTTCTATATCATTGAAATTGTTCCTTATTGAACCAATATACTCCCGTAAAGATTTTAAAAGCTTAACAGCGACTGATAAATCAAGTGACTTCTCTTGTAATTTAACACTAGTTTTGTCAAATCTTTCTAAAATTCTGTTCCATAGTACTGTCATGAAAGCAATATCAAGTGATGTCATTTTGTTAATTATATTTTGTGCTTCGTTTCGTGCATCTTTTTTTATTTCCGTATTTTCACTTAAATATTTTAAACGATTAAGTATGATATCATAATTCTCACAAAGTACTTTAGTAGAGTGTGCTCTAGCTGACCATCGTGTTTCACTCAAACTCTTTAAGACTACAGTTCTCCCATAAATACTTTTTAAATCACCACAAATTGTTTCCCATCAACATGTAGAGGCTGAACAAAATGTATATAAATGTTGAACAAACTCAAAAAATACGGATGCAGCTGAGCAATTGTCAACTGCATTGTTTCCAACTAAATTTAACAAATGTGTAGTACATGGAATAAAATCCATATACTTATTAGACTTCTTCAAATGCGCCTGTACTCCTTCAAACTTCCCAGACATATTTGAAGCATTGTCATACGATTGACCCCTTGCATCCAATATATTCAAATCAAGTTCTTCAAGTTTTTTCAAAATAGCTTGAGCAATATTTTTTCCAAAATGACCAACAGCAGGTTCAACACATAAGAAACGTTCATGAACTTCTACGGAATCATATATCTTGACGTATCGTAAAATAATAGCTAGTTGATCAATATGAGAAGTGTCACGAGATGAGTCAACAACTATAGAAAAATATTTAGCACATTTTACTTCTTTTGTTATCATCTTCAAAAGCTTATTTCCCATTATTAAAACACATTCTTCATAAATCGTTGAAGATAAATAAGATTTTTTACCTCTACCTTCATTTGAATTTTCATTTAAATGTTTAGCTATAAATGGGTCAAATTTTGATAAGTACTCAAGAGTAACTAAAAAATTTCCATTTTGCTCATCGCCGAAATTTTCACTATCACCTCTTAATGCGAGACCTCTTCCACAAAGATATCTTAACGTTTCAAATACTCTACGTAAAACTTCTCGCCAGTAAAATATCTGTTGCTCCATTAATAATTTATGCTGTGAATCTATTATCAACGTCTTTGATGTACAGGTACGTGATATCCATATTCTAATTGATTCTAAATGAATAACACTTCGTTCGTGTTTATTAATATCTCTTTGTCCGTGAGGCCAGTCACTATATCCAGAACTAAACTTGTCCTGAGGATTCCCAAAAAGAATACAATAAAAACAAAATATATTCTCAGTTGATGGAGAATATATAAGCCACTTTCTATTTACAGTTTCCCCATTTTTTGTAGTGAAATAAAAAAAATTTGGGGAACAAGTTCTAGTTTTATTATCGTGTTAGTACACGGCTAGAAGCGGTAAAATCATTATTTAAATTTTGGTTGGAAGTTAATCTACTTCTATGTATCCAGTATTGTACAACTTGATTTTTTTTGTTCGGCCATAAAGCTGGATCGGATGACCAACTATTAACATCAGTTATATGTGTAACAGTAGTGGATGGTGTGGAGGTTTCAGAATTCATCGCCGTAGTTGGTTTATTAATATTATTTAACAAATTTTCATTTTCTATATTTTGAATGCATGTTTTTACATAAGCATTAGAAGTTTCTCCGGGATGCGAATCATTGCCCAAGTTTTGCCCAGGATTTATGTTCAGTTGAACGGATTGAAGATTATGTGCACATGATTCGTTCATTTCAAAACCAGATTTCGAAAAAAAAGAAGTTAATTTAGGGACCTGTAGAAAATATATATTTTAAATTATATTATGTACTAACTACTAACTACTAAATATCTACCTTAAAATAAATTAATACTTGTTGGCATTATAGGAGTAGCAAAATTATAGACACACTTTTATTTTTATAAGAAATAATAATCAAATCTAAAAACTGAAAAAGTACTACCTACATTTTAATTTTTATTTGCCAGTCTTGTAATGTAGATATTTTAAATATATAAATAAAGTATTTGAATTAATATTTCATGGGTATTTGTTGTAGTAGAATTAAAAAATACATTTATCTAAATACTTCAAACTTTAATTGTGGAGGGTGCTTTGACCATTTAAGGGGCTACGTTATCGTGACGAATTCCATCAGGCTATAATAAAAACTTGGACTTGTCAAAAAGTTTAGTTATAGTAGAATGGTTAGTTTTTTCAAGAATTTTTGTTGTGAGTAAAAATATCAGTTACCAGTTATTACTTACCAGTTTGATCAAATTCCAAGGTTCCAATTACAACGTTTGCTATAAAACGCCCATTTGCGTCTGTTGATTCATCAATGGATACCCATATTTTTAACAGTTACATAATTTCTGATAATTTTCATAACATCTTCGTAGCAATCATTAACATATGTTTTGTGTAAAGTAGTGACAGTTCGAATTTCTTTACCGGTGTATTTTTACAAAAATTGACCAGAAATATATGTTACTAATTTTATGTAATGGAATATTACTTGACATAAATGCTTTACATAGATTAAATGAAAAAATTTACTTTTTCGTACTTGTTACTAATTGTTGAACTTTTGGATTTGTTTTGTTGGTTTTTTTATTTACTGACCTAGAATGTTTGTCGGTTTTTTGCGTCACAATTTATTGTCGATCGGTACATACTAGCTCTTCCAAAAATTTTTCCAAAAAGAATACTCCCATCAATAGAAAAAATTATATCACCAAATTCTGACACGTTATATTTTAAAACGGCTTATTTACTCGGTTTGATTTTCGGTATTTTAACGGACGAAATAGACGCGACAAAATATAATAAATGAATAAATCTATTACAAATCACATCGTGATATCGGTATTTTTAAATATAACTGATTGTTGTCAATTTACTCATATATTTGATTGAAAAGAAGTTTTTATTTATTAATCTTATTTATTAAGAAGTTAAACGACCTAAATGCGACGATCCCACTATAAAAATATTAATAAATATTTTGATAAATATATAAATATGTTCAAAGCAATGTTCACTTAATTTTTATCTTCTAAGATTTAAGATTAATTTTTTAATTAAATAATCTTAAATTTACATGAAAATTATGAAAAATAGTTAAAATTGCAGTAAAACTAAAAAAATCGCATTTATTGCAATATAAATTGTTTTTGTTTAAAATAATAGCTTAGCAAAACATATATTAAGCTCACTTAGCAATGAAAATAAGCATTTATAAAAAATATGCAAAAACAACAACTTCACTGCCGTTGTAACTTACAATTAATGATAAAATGATTCAATTTTTCCTCATCCACTTGCTAGTTATGTACCTACTTTGATTAATATCTCTCATCACACTGAATTCGATATTCTTAAAGACTCATTATGTTAACACAATTTATTTTATTTTTTTTTTCATATATTATGAATTTTTAAATAATGGCATGGACGAAATAAGCAGTAGCAGCATTTAAATTATTTACCGGCTTGTTTTAAATTATTTAATATTTGAATTCAAATAATTTTTAAAGTTACCAAAAACCATGTCCAACCTGCATAATAATATAAATTGATTTATTTCATATCCTTGTAAGAATCGATTGTTTTTTAACACAACATCAATCATTTACAATATATAAATGTGTAATAATACAAAACTTAGTAATAAAATATATAGCTATATTTACAGGTAAGTATAACGCTGCTAAGTAACGTTTTTACTAAGGGAAAGTAATTCAACGCATAATTTATTCAAAATTAATAGTATTTTACCAGTGAACATGTCAAATGTCAAATTATTTAAGTTATCTACTATTATTTCCGATCAAAGCTATTCGTTCGTTCTTCTTCTTCTAGGGCTTATAATGATCCGTTTAGGATCGCTACTTTCAACACAATCATCCACCTCTATCTATCAATAACCAACGTTGCTTCCATATCCAGTTACGGGTTAATTTTCTTCAAATCTCTTTCATGTGTATCATCCCATCTCTACCCGAGACCTGCCCCTTGTACTTTTGTTTTCGGTAATTTTCTTAATGAGTGAGCCCTGTGCTTATCAGACGTGTCCCTCCCATTCAAACCTCTTTTTATCAGAGAAATTACGTAAACTCGGCTTTTAATAAAGGAACATAGATTTTTATTTGTTCTTCTATAGAAACTATTTAGGTCATTATTGCTTACCGATTCATTTACTTTACCCTCGAAAGACTGTAGTCTTTTTTCGTCTTAGTCTCAGTACATCCAACCCGATTAAAATCGCTTTTCGTTTACGTTTTCGACCCGATAGTAACTCGTACAAGATGCGTATAAGATTGTATATTATACGGACCCGTGAGATGGTTGACGTACTCGTCAATAATATAATGTGATAATGTGATCATGTTTTACCCGTGGACCAAGGTGTGGATCTAGAAATTAAGAAAAGGGGGGCTAGTAAACTGTCATAATTCGTTACACAAGTCGATTTGTGCGAAGTGTTTCTTACTTTTAATTTTTTAAATACTTTAATTTTTTACGTCTGATATGGTCCTGTCTAATTTCTAAAGGGGGGTAGGGCTTCAGCTCCCCACCTCCTTGTATCCATGCCTGCGAGGATTGGACCGTTTTTTTTATTTTTTATTTTTGATAAAAAAAATTAAGCGCGCGGTAAAAAAAAAGTCGGCGAGCGGTGAAAACGCGGAAAAGTGGTTTCGTAGAACAACATTAAGACCATGGTCGTTAAAAAAAATATTTCGGAGGAGGTTTTTGAAAAAATTAAAAATATTCATAAATATTATATAATTGTATTATACACATCAATTTACAAACCACGGGAAACTTTTAAATAACTAATATTTTTTTAAATATATTTATTAGTAATACATTTGTATTTCAGGTAATTTATTTTTTGTTCCTGATATTTTGAGGGGCGTTTTAATCCCCCCCCAGCGTTCGCCCCAGAGTGTGAAAAGAGAATGCGCCCGAAACCCGATGCTGTATGGCCGCCGCGAGTATATCACATAATGTTGGTACAATAAACGCGTTCCTCTTCTTTGCGTATTCGACCGTTTGATTGGTCCACCGCAGATCTCCATGCAACCCTATCGCTGCTCAATCCGTTTAACTCCTTATGGCGATTCGTACCCGTTTACCAATTACAATTTGCTTCTTACACCCCATCCTTTGGTCCTATTCTACCGGTACGACCTTCAACGGCGCCTTCTATGACGCAAATTATATACCCGTACTCGTTTGAGCACGAGTGATGGCATTTTCCACGAGGACGGTGGATGAGGGGTCTGATGGTTCGGAGGGCTTAGAATATAACATTGTATGATACTTGTTTGTGCGTTGTTTTCGACGTTCGCGATCAACGCGGGATTAAAACACATCGCGGTAGTGTACTATTATTGTATACGGCTTCCACGATCGATTATCATTATTACAATTATTACTATTATTATTATTATTTTTAATATTATTATTGCTAATAAGGATATTATCGTACACGCAACGTGGTCACACCGTCAGCTGGTGTCACATCCCGAAACCCTCGTCAGGATCAAGTCCTCCGCAGATACAACAAGCGTTGTTATGTTAATCGTTGCTAGCATTATTATTGTTATTATTATTGTTGCGGGGTGCGTACGCGCGGAACAATAATGACACGCACGTACACACACCTACCTACAGCTCCCTGATGCTGTGGTTCAATTGCAATGTTTTTAAAACGTTTGCAGTTGCGTAACTTCAGCGAACAATGTATCGGGCACGAAGTCCCGTGGTCTGCGGCTGACATATGCAAGCGCATGGGGTTCATTTAATTACACCGAAACAAAACGTACACGTACATTATGTACGGCACAATAATATTACGTCTGTGCTCGTTATGATTCTTAATTTGTATTTTCGCGAGCAACAATCAGGTTTCTTTTGGTATCGAAACTATACGAAATTTAATTTAATAATAACAATATACTACTTATAATGTAATAATGCCGAGCGTGGGTGCCATAACCAGATTAACTCAACCGAAGAAACCATAATACAGCGGGTTTTGAGGCGCACGGGCGTATTCGATCACACACACACACTGTTTGACCCTGTTAGTCGTGTTTCCGAATTCCGTCTGTCTCGTACGGGGAGAAATACAAAAAGAAGACCAGGCATAGGTACATATCGTCCGCAACAACGCCACGCAACAATGGTGTTGAACTTTAACGTTTTTAAAAAATCATCGGCCGACGGTAAACTAATTCTGTACCTGAGCAAACGAAACATCGTTGACCATATAACGTTCGTCGACCCTGTCGGTACGTATGTTTACAAGTTTCGAGTGCCTATATAATAATAATAGGGATGGGAAAAATTCGGATTTGCCGAAGTTTGAAAATCCGTATTTTCGCAATTCTATGTCCGAATATTGATCTAAGCCCCGATTCCGGGTCTTGAAACATTGAATTGGAATTCTTTTATACGTTATTTATGATAAAGTCATAATGAATACATATTTTTTTTTAATCAAATTAAAACGTTTAATATATTTTACGTAAGTTTATACAAAAACTAGTCATAACTAGATTTTCAATCTAAATTGTTTAATGCAATAGAGTAAATATAAAAACTATTATTGTTCAACTAGGGCCGTATTTAAAGAGTAGTTCGGGGAGGCAATAGCATGCCCTTAAATATTTAAGGGGACGGCGAAATGTTTACGGTGATTATATATAAAAATATATCGATTTTTTCACATTCTCAATGAAAAATTAATTATGAATTATAAATAAATAAAATTATATAATATATAATATATATATAATTTTAATATGGTACATGATATATATAGGTACCTATATATATATAACAAATAACGATTGAAAAATCATTATTCGTATGTGATCCGTAAGAGCTAATACAATTCGTATCCAATTGATGGTTTGCTGTAGTAGTATGTATATATAATGACAAACATTAAATTTAATAGCACTGCACACAAGCTTTGATTTTTTTACGGAAAAGTATTCAAAATGAAAGAATTGATTCGCATTAATAAAATATCACAATGCAATAAAGGACACACTCAATATTTAGTAATTTATGATTATTATTATTCAACAAAAATGTATTATAACACGTGTATCAAATATGAAAACATCATTATAAGCAAAATCGTGTATTCGTCAGTAAAAAGTTATAAAGTTGAGTTTTGAAACTTAAAAGAGTGTATTGATATGTGTAGGTAAAATTTTTCTTTCCAATTAATTATTCCTTATTTTAAAAATTTTGATTTTTCTCTATATGCTTCTTAGCCACTCGATTTTACATAATCTTTCTTGTCAAGTGATCTAAAAGCATTTACATAACTTTTATAATTATGTTGAAGAAATTGTAACATGATAAAGATAGATATTTAGTTTAAGAATTAGAAAAAAATTATTAAATCTGTACATCAAAATGTTAATTTTTCTTTTATACTTTACGATTAAAAATTTAATATACATAATATATTATAATGATAATTATTCAAAATTCTACGCCATTTCTAAAAAAATTATAATCGAAAACAGAAAAGTCTACATACAAATAAGTGTTTATTGAACCTTGAACGTAAAATCCTTGCATTATTATAAAACATAATATTACATAATATTAAACTCTATAGTATTTTCTGTGCCTTATTACAGATGGTGTCGTTTTGTTGGATAATTCTTATTTGAAAAACAGTAAAATTTTCGGACAAATAGTGTGCAGTTTCCGTTATGGTCGAAAAGACGATGAGATGATGGGATTGTGTTTTCAAAAAGATATGTACTTGGCTTCGGCGCAAATTTATCCTCCTCGTGATAACGACGATACATTTAAACCCTCTAAGATTCAGGTAAACATTTTTTAATTGAAAATAAATTAACATTATGTAATACCAATTGTTACTTGTACTTGTTTAAATTGAAAATTTTGTTTATGGATCGATTATAATAGATATTTTATTGTTCAATATGTATAATATTGTTACGTTAAATTATATTAAAATATTATATTCAAATAATTAATGAATTATTTAATCTAATTAATAGTTTTTTAAAATAGATCACAATATTTGTTTGAACTGAAAACAATTTATTAGTATTTACACAAATAACTTATATAATAATATTGCGTTGATAGTTATTTGAAACAAATAAAAAATAATAACTATAGTACCTAATCTAAAGCGGTTATGCCATCTGACTATTATTGAACAGTTTAATTTTTTAGTTTACTTAATCACATTATTATTATCAGTATTTATTTATTTATATTTTATTCATATTGTCTGTCAAAGTTCTAATAACGTCATTGAAGGGCTTCCGACGAAAATAGCTAAACATAATTGAATTAAATGGTTATACAAATGAAGTACTCAATGCATTATATAATGTTTAAAAAAAAATAATTACTTTCTTTTATGATTTATTATTTGTTCTATTGACTATCGATTATTCTATAATACTTAAATAGTTTACAAGTGCGTAGGTACTAATGATAATTGATGTTCATCTGTTCTAGGACTGTTTGATATCTAAATTAGGAAGTAACGCCATGCCATTCCGTCTTAAAGTGCCTGAGAACGCACCGGCATCGGTTATTCTGCAAGATGGAACAACGAGTCTGGCTGACGCGTGTGGCGTGCAGTACTATGTGAAAATATTCGCCGGCGAATCTGAAACTGATCATAATCGAGCGAAGTAATCTACATTTTAATTGTTTTTATTACGATAAAATGCATTAGTAAGACCAGTTACGTACACAATTGTGTAATCCTTAAAAAAAAAATGTTTAATATGTTTAATAAAATATAAATTTCAAAAAAGTCAGAAGTAACAAATAATGTGTAATTAATGATTGAAACCATGTTCTATGTACTGTTTTATTTTGCTTGGATTTTACAATGAAGTCCACAATATTGTTAAAAAAATGTCTTAATGGTGATTTTTTCTAATTTAATCGAATTTTAATTGAAATCAATGTCATTAATAGATGATTCTGATGGAAAATCAATAAACCATAGTGTAGGAATTACATTAAAAAAAAAATGATTATTTCCTTATAAACTATTTCAAACTGTTTTTATATAGTTAGAAAAGAAATACCGTACCCACGATTTCTAAAATAAATTTTTTTTTCGTGTACTATGTTCTATATACGATCAATGTATTAGTTAATTAATATTTATATATATATTTGACGAAGAACAGAAGAAAAAGTCTATTATGGTGGTGGGACAATTTAAAAATTAAAATATAAATAATACTTATCTATAATGAAACGTATCTATTCGAACAATAATCACAACAATCATTTTGCATTTAATCTAATGAGTTTAACACTCATTGTATTTCCTATCGTCAATCGTACATGTGTACGAGTGTTGTGTTTATGTGTATTATTTGTGCATTGTACAAAGGATTTTATAGTGTATAGATACGCCATCTTATTAATGAAAGTGACTGCATCCGCGTAGTCGCTACCAATTTCAACAATAAGATGGCGTAACCGTTTAATGAATGATTGTAATAATTTTCTTAAAAAAATAGTTTTCATTAGTATCACAAATAACAGAAAACTGAGTAGAAAATCATAAACAGTTTGTCAAGCAAATGTTGCATTTTTTTGTGGGGATTTTGTACAATATTTCAATATAATAATAATTATATATATATATATGTAGTATCATGTAAATCTATGATATATATTTAGTCTATCGTTGGTGTATAATATATATATATATATATATATATATATATATTACGAATATCACGAAGAATATATATGTATTAATCGAATTAAAATTATCTTAAAAGTAAACCAAAATCATTTCCTTCAAATGAATTTCATAAAAAACAATATGTATAATGTTGTATATATATATATATATATATATAAAGCGAGAGCATTTAAAATCAACAACAATTTCCATATTTCCAGAAAAAATATATTAAAAAACTGTTTACCAATACTAAGAAAGCCTCGAGCACATACGTACAAGTTGTATTAAGGTCTTCAGAAATCATCCCAAATGAAATACGTAATATTTCAAGTTACACGAATATAAACTAAAATATTGGTTCCATGATAATGTGTAAATATTTGATATGTACACGCTTAACACTTGCTCGCTGGTAATACTTCGTTGGTAACCTTCGCCGACTTAAAACGAGGCCGAGACGCGTTCGAGACAGTTACGATTTATTTTTCATTTATTAATTCGTTGCAGGAGTTCCGTGGCTATGCGTATACGTAAAATCCAGTTTGCTCCGGTCATGCGTCCCTTGAGTAGACATCCTTGCACTATCGTCCGCAAAGACTTCATGTTCAGTCCCGGCCAACTGGAACTGGAAGCTGTACTCGACAAACAGGTATGATTCTATTATACATACGCTTATAATAATTACGATTACGTATACCCGTGCGCGCGTGGTATGCGTATAATTTGTAAACGTTCGCGCGCACGACGATCAACATACTACACGAGTGCCCATTACTACGATAATATTATGACAACATCGGTGCGATTATATGTGCACGCGGAAAATTATAATAATAAATGTAAAAAAAAAAAAAAAAAAACATAAAACAAAACATAAACGAGTGTAGTCGGTGTGTGCCTACGCATGCGTTGGCGGACCGTCAAATTACGGAAACATTTGCCGGTGCGGTATTTTATATCGCGCGTTACGATTCGTGTTCATCTGTAAAGGTGCCCATACTGGACAAGCGAATGAAATCCGTATGTGCATTGAAAATACTTAATTCCACTAACCCTCTTTACGTCATGTGTTTCTCGCATACCTACCTACGCGTATGACTCTATCGGCGCGGACACCCGATTGTAGCGGTATGCGTGCAGAGGGATTTCTTCCTAACTCTGTTGCTGACTGTCTTGGTCGATTTTACGGTCAGAAGTCTCGAAAAAAAATAAAAAAGTCGTTCAAATCGGTAGTGTTCTACTACCCATTTGTATTTGTACGGTGATTCGACCTTTCGCCGGATCAAATGAATTAAACGAACCTCGCACACCGCAGTGTGATATTCGATTTAAAGAAGAAAACTCCTTCTATTTCGAAATACGAAGTTACCGGTGGAAAAGGTAAAAGTTTTCTGACTAATCAAGACGAGAAATCGCAGAACAGTTGCAACGCGACTTGAAAGTAAACTACAACGATCGTTTTCTAAGACACACGAGCCGATCGTGGAAATGGGTTTGAGAAAAGATGCTCGTGTAAATGATATATGCTGCGAGTGGTACAGCTGTAGTAGTGTAGCCGCACACTATGCGAGCAACGAGTCGCTCGTACAGTGACGGTATGTAATACGCACGTCGAGCAAAGTAAGACATGATAAAATTCATAAGCACACTTCATGGTAATACGACGCGTATTTACTAACAAACACATCAGACATTCACGCTATGTCACCACCGCGTAGGAGAATACCAAAACGAAGAAAATCTACTGTTAATTTGTTCATAATTTGTTCGTTGTGCCTTTTAGTCCCAATTGATTATAAGACCAGAGATCAATGTTGTTGCACATAAATGTCGATGACTCGTATCACTTATACGTGCACATAGGCACGTACACAAGGGAGGATCGGGTTAAATAACTCAACTCCCCTCCCTCCCAAAAGTTCAGGAAAGTTATTAAATATGTTTTTATAGAGTGAAAGTGGTTTATAGTTTGTATAAGTATAAAAATGTACAACCTAGAAACTCCCAAAATATTTTTTTGTCTACTCGCCCGTGTACATTTAAGAGTATACTAACAATACCATCGCGTATGCGATCGATTTTCACAGGAAAACGGGGAAGGACAAGTACTCGGTGCGGGATATTTCGATAATCTCGTGGAACTTGAAGAAATTAGTTTTGAATGATGTGGACATTTTTTGGAAATTTTTCTTGTATTTTTTACCCGACGTCACGTTCACGCGACATAACGACTGTAGGTGCCGACAGTTGCGACGAGCCACTTAACTAATCACTTGGGCAGAGAACTTGTAGCTCTAAAAAGCACTAAATATGCAAGCACTTATGTACTTAAAAACCCTAGGATATGCATTAAGCATATCCTTTTATATATTTTTTTTAAAGCGATTTATTTGAAATTGTCGCCAAATTAAAGATAAAAAAGTGTTCATCTTTTGGCATTTTAATGTTAAAATAGTACTTAAAAATGAAACATTGACACGAATTACAAATACACACACATACACAGACGGCAGAATTAAGCTAAATTAATAAAATATTAAATTATTAACTACCAACAGTTGACAAAAGTCAGTGCAATGATATTTTTTGGTATCGTTTATGGAATCGTTAACGTCTCATCTGAAATATATAGTACGCTGTGGACAGCGTGTCACGGGCGTATTTGAGTTGAGGCCATGGGGGAGAAAACAAATTTTTCTTCAATACAAACTTAAAAATAATTTACAGTTCATTATCTACAGCTCATATTTCTGTTATAATGATAGACTAGTAATTTATATTCTTGATTGTTTATACATTACATTTTTTAAATAAATCAATGTATTATATTAAAAAAAAAATACGAGTCATGGAGGGCGGCGAATGCCCCTTCGCCCCGCCCCAAATACGCTCTTGTAGCGTGTTTACTGTTTATAAATAAAATAAATCTAATCGACGACCCTCGATACGTATTTCTAGGATAAACATGCATCTACAAAAAATTAAATAAATCAACAATATTTTGGTCATGTATTAGATGAAATAAAAACGTCGACGGAAAAGTATTGATAATATGATAAATTATTTGGAATATGGATATAAAAGAATAAAACTGAAGAAGTATGTCCTGAAAACAAAATTAAAATTGAAGTATACATTTATATGCAAAATAAAATTTCAAGACAAGCTTTGCGAAATCATAAAACATTTATTTCGTATTCTCCCATTTTTGTGATGGTACAAAATAAATATACAAATTCTACAAGTCCTCTATCCTACTAATCACGCTTGGACGGATTGAGTATTGAGCTTATTGAGCCATGGTGAGTCGAACATACTCAGATGAACCGGTCCGAGTTCAACATTAATCGGGTCTGGTATACTATAATAACGTACATTTTCGATTGAAACGTAAAGTATACATTTTATGTCACAACGGCGCTGGCTTTATTGTTTAAATATACGCTTAAGGCTTTAGTAATGTAATATATGTTGCTCGTGAAGATATTATTATGATTATAATTAAACAAAAGTAAATACTATCGTGCTATTCGGCTAAACAAGTTATTTCGTAAATCTAGATTTATTATAAAACCGTATATCAGAATCGCCTGAAGACTGATATCAGTTCAGTAGGAGCAAAATGTATTTGTAACAAGTGTAGGTTGTACAGTCAATTTCACCGTGTGTACACCCTAGATTATTCCCGTTAAATTTAAATTGGCGTTTGCAACATTTGTCACCTCTTTTTAAATGTTTCCATTACGTAATATAATCTGAATGCGTGAAAAATGTCTCAAACATTTCAAACGTAAATTTTTACCATTTCAATTGATTCCTAGTATACTTTGATGTCATACAATTTTAAAACAAACATTATTTAGATATATTTAAAAAAGTCTTGGGAATGATTTTAACTTGCGTTTAAAATGTGTAACCACATGTGATTTAAAAATGCATTGTAGTAAATTCAAACTTAACATTACGAATTATTCTGTGAACGCGATGATTCGAGTTCGAGATCAAATTTGAAGACGTTCGTCTCAGCGTCTTTCTCAACAAGTGTTTCTCACATTTTTATAACATATTATTATCTTCTAGCTGTATGCGTTAGATTCGGCCGGACTCGTGCATAAAATATACATATAAACTTGTACAGTGTATGATATGCTTTTACCGTTCTAATATTCAGGTTTACACACACGGCGAGAACGTGCTAGTGACGATATGCATACGCAACAACAGCAATAAAATGGTGAAAAAAATCAAATTAATGATGCAACAAATCGTGGACATTGTCATATTCCAAAACGGACAGTGCCGGACCGCTTTAACCGCCGCCGAAACCCAGTGAGTATGAATATATAGTATACCGCAGTATATTACGTGCCGTACGCGGTGCGGGTCCATAAATAAATTTGCATTGCACAAGATGTTTTGATAACATTACTTCTATATGTAACATGGGCTGGTAGTATGTTTATTTTAGTAGATGATAGTGGTATATATTCAGGCACATATATAAGAGGGAGGAGGGGTTCAACCACCCCAATTAATTTCTTCGAATTGCATATTGCTTTGATGGCTGCATACTAGTTGCGTCCCAAAGATATCAACGAAAAAAAGTCTAATCCGAATTGCGGCCCGTATTTATTTTGGGTACAGACGAGTTGTGGCCCGGATTTTCTAACTCTAGATAATTTAATCTTGACTGATAAAATATTTTGTGAGGCTTTTCGTTAGAAATTCAATGCTTTGTTCTACAGTGCTCATCCTAATATTTTTGTATTCATCGTTGTTCTGAAAAATGTGCAGAAGGATACCTATATAAAATTAAAAAACACTCATTTAAATACTCGCAGAACAAATATAATTGAATAAGAAACATTTATTAGAAATTCTATGAAACGGTTAGAAGAAAATCAAATTGACAAATTTGAACATATACATCATACAAGTCTTTACCAGTGCCGTAATACCTAAGAATTTTACTAAATTATACTAAAATTTTTAACTGCAATAAATATCATATACGTTTTTACCAGTGCTGACATTTTTTAATAAAAACAATATATTTTAATATCATATTTTAATGTCAAAAAAACTTTTTAACCCTAAAAATATCATATATGTTTATAAAAATCATCATTTTTAACCTACCTGCAGTATTTAATGAATGTGAAGGAAAATGAAGCTTTTTAATTTTAAATTTACATAAATTAATTTAATTTTAAATTTCGGGCCACAATTCGTATGCACGCCAAAAAAACTCGGGCCGTACCTCGGAAAAAATTTTTACCGCGGGACGCAACTAGTAGCCACACGCTTTGATTGAATATTTAGCATAATAACTGTCACATTAAAAAATAATGAATAAGGAAGAAGAAATTATTTTATTATGTTGCTGTACAATTTGTATTGCTATATTTTATAAATCCCCCCCCCAAATTTAATTTTGTGTACGTGTTGTTTATATGTACATGTACATATAAGTAGCTAGTACAAGTAGTATACATTTCAGAGGAGACAATTATAATATCAAAAAATAATTATGTACACTTATTTTTAATAACTGCTCATGGTTTATTTAAAATTTGATTTATAGTTGAAAAACTACAATTCCAAATAATAACGATAAACACACATATACATATATTTCTCAAATAAACTGATTGTGTCAACTGCTTGTATCTATTGAGTTATAATAATAATGACTCAGTTTTATAGAAATGGAAATCACAAAACTAAATGTTGGCCTAAATTAATTTCAATGAATATATAATTATAAGTTGAACTATATGAAACCAGCACAAATAGAATAGAACCAAAAAAAGTAATAAAATATCTAGATATGAGCACGCATGTGCTAAACTACTAATTATTATAATTAAAATAAAACACTGCTGTTTTGTATTCGATTCTAAAAGAAAAAGTCTTGATAACAACAATTATATACTATAGCCACAGCAATACTGAACAAGACGTTTTTATCGTGCATAGGTCGTTGTTTATTCTCTGATAGTGTTATACGTTCTCTTATATCGCAAACCATAGCAAAGTACATTCTTTCAGTTGACGTCGCTATTTTGTTTATGTTATATAACAAATTTATAATTTTTTCCAAGTTTGACATTTTTTTTACGTAAAGAATTATATTTCTTTCGATTTCCATATTTTAAATTGCATTATGCGTATGGCTTCGTATGTCTTAAAACACGACACATCGATTGTAATCGCTTAGTCACTACATAAAAACACAATAATACATTAAATTATTAAATATCTACACATACTTACTTTGATAATGTAGTCAATTTTTAAGTTTGATTAGAATAAGTTAAAATAATTTTTTAGAAAAATTTTTTTTACTAAGTATATGTTAGTCAGATAACGATCACTACTTGATTGATACATTTACATCATACATTTATTTTTCTATACTTATTAGTATTACAAAATGTTTAAGATCATCTTGTTTTAACACTCTTCAAATATTGTGTCCTATTTTAGTTTTTAGTAAAATGTATAATCGTATTGTTTATGACTTATTAATACTCTTAATGCATTGCAGAAAGAACAGAAATAGCTTTTGACGTAGAAAGGTTGAGATTTTTAATAATAATACCGAACGTAAAAAATATTTTTAACAATCAAACATATTATTAAGGACTTGAATTATTTTTGATAACCGATTTTACTTGAACAATTCAATCGTTTGATTGAACCCCGGTCTTCATCAGATTTATCATAGTAATTGTTTAATTAATAACAGTGGTCTGTCAACAATAATACTGTAAATTAGTCAGGAATCACGTTTAAGGGCTTATGAGTCATAATTTTTATGAGACCTCATCAGAAAAATTCATAACACGACCGTTGAACATTATTTCACACTAACAAAAAAAAAAGAAATAACTGAACCTTTTTGAAAAATGTACAATGTTCTAATCTCACTGTACTAAGATATCATAAGGTCATTGTATGGACGTCGCATGATTACAAAAAAAATGTTAGTAACAACTTGTTTATTTTCACGATCTGATGACATGTTTATTATTGCTCCACGAATGTTTTGAATAACACATGTATTGTTTTTTCTTTACTGAAATAAGTGCCCACTCTATCGTACATACTGTAGAGTTTTATATTTCAAACATCTTACGTGCACGTTTTCTTCTTCCGTCTAACCGTTGATCCATCATGTCTTCCGTTGTCATAGTTACCTCACAACGTTGGATTTCTATAAATGTACATCGTCGAACGATATTCACAGTCCTTGCGCTCATCAAGGGTTAAACAGTGTGTTATTTAGAACAAACTATAAAATCATTAATCACTGAAGATAATATTTGTTCATACATTAACCGTGTTTCGTATAACGCAAACAGTATTTTATTTGCGTTTGGATTTGTTCAACCGTTACCGAATCTGTTCAAATGTATCAATTTTGATAAGGTATTGTTTAATATCAACTATTTTATTTACTGACATTTTAACTGGTTAATTGCCAATGAAAATTAGAAAATTAGTATCTACGTACGTGGACATTTTTTCTTATTAACGAACGATTCATAAAAATGTCCTAAACCATAATAATTTAGAATTAAAAATCATTATTTAAATTAAAAAATCAAAATATTGAATTCATGTATCATACTACAATGCATATTACACTAGTATTAGGTACATGCAATTTACTTACGAAATGTAAGCAGTTAATCAATAAAAAATTGTTTTATAAACAAAAAATAAATTATAATTCTATAGCACATTTACTGTTTTACAAAAAAATAATTAAATTTATTAGTATGAAGTTATACACATAAAATTTTCGTTATTCAGACCGAAAACTAGTTCCTCAACTATTTCGTCTCGAGTTAACATTTTACCCTATTTACATTTGGTTTATTAAATTATAATATGTATTATAAATCAATATTTATAAATTTCAAAAGTGGCAGGGTTTAATTCCTTTTATCTTTCTAGGCTTTTGGTTTATCGAAAATCTACTATAGTGCACGTACTTTAATTTATAATGTAAACAAAAAATTTGACTGATCCCGAAAAATGAAATTACATAATATTCTGTAAAACTGTATGTGAAAAAAAAAAACTTCTAAATTTGTTATTTTTTACATTCACAAACGGATGTGTTTTAACAAAAATATATGTGGGTACACTGTGTTTTAGTATTATAGTATGATTGGACAATTTAGGAGCAAAAGAATTTCGTTTGACATGATGAAATATCTTATAATCTGTATATTGTATATTAATATAAAAATATTTAATATAACAGTAGGTATACATATAAATGTATATAACTATAATTAGGAATTTAGTTTTTCATTTTTTGATTTCTTTTATTATAAAATAAGCACACAAATAGTTAAATATAATTATTTTAAACGATGAAAAAATATAAAATGAATACTTAAATGTACATAAATATTATAATAATTAATGATATACAAACAGTGGCGTACATACGTGGGGGAGGGGGTCCGGGTTGAAACCCCCCCCAGGCCAAAAAAAAAAATTATTTTATTATTAATGACGTGTAATATATTCGTAGTTTTATTATTACGCTTTGAACTTAAAATATATAACTATACAAATCTTATGGTAGTTAAATAATTATATTGATAGGTTTTTGAAAAGTTTTGTTAACTATGTTGTTTTTATATTCCAATAGCTAATTAATTTACTGTAATGTAAAAGTAAACTGTAAATTGGTAAAAAAGTTGTATAAATAATATTTATTTATAGTAGTTATTTATCTTATTTATCTGTGCAACGAAAAAAAAAAAGATAACGATTATTTTTGTTAACCCCCCCCCCCCCCCCCCAGAACAAGATTGAATGTACGCCACTGTATACAAATATTAGTAAGCCGAGAAATATTTTTAAGATATAGCATTATAACACTATAATCTACTGTTTACAACCAAGTAATATTACGGAATAGTATTCGTAGCAACAATCTACGTATGTTTAAAATCATTATGCTAATAATTGAAATGCACAATAATCGATAAATGCAAACCAATAACATTGAATATACCAAACTGCAGTGATGGCTCGTGAGGTTCACATAAGGTAGTGCACAAATAATTTGTAAGATATCTACGTAGGTTGGTACAAAAATAATAGTTTTACTATTGGTATGAGTACACATAACGTACTCTTTAACACATCATTTTCTCAAGTTCCCTAAGCTCTTCGTTACGGTAAAATAAAAATAAATTGGAAAAATATAACTTATTATGTATGAGGTATAAACATAAAATCTTGTTTCTACGACCGATGCGATACGCGTAACGATAAAAATTAGTCCGGTGCACACATCG